GAGGTCGAGGAGGCTTTTCACCACGGAATGGAGCGCCGTATCCTCCCTCCAATCAACAACAAACTCAGGGACAGCCAAAAGGCAAGCAACGTGCACGTCGAACTCGTGGTCATGGTCACGGTCACGGAAGATTTGCTGCAGCTGATTATACAGAAGAACCTGAGGAATCCCAGGAGTATGACAATTACGACCAGTACAACGAGGAATATGATCAAGGCTATGAGTCTTATCATATAAATTTACAAATGACTATCGATGATGCCTCCCACTTTGAAGAGTTTAACGATGATATAACTCCTGTCCCGGTTCTTCAGAGTGAAGAATCACATACAGTTGAGTATGTTGACGAAGCTCCTCCTGGAACTGTTGTTAATCTGCCTCGTCAATGCCAAATGTGCCTTCGAACAGTATCCCGACTACATCTACGGGTACTACCAGATCTGGCCACACAACATGGTCTTCAAACTATGGAGAGGAGGAGATGGACATCTGCTGACTTCGGAAACCGAGTCAATGAGTCCTCTGACACCAATCCTAGTATTAATAGATCTGGAAGTAGAGTGGAAGATACCTCCACATACGGCACTTGTGATGAGAGAGAGAAATGCGTACAAAGCATTCATAAAAAGGTTAAGGGATCTAGGCGTAACCGTCCTAGAGTAACGGTATCCTTACAAGATTTTCATGCTTCGGTAACCGAGCATAAATATCCCAAACCTATACGATATATATGATTACCTGATGATTATGAACCGGACCCTGCAATAGAGGGTGCATCTGGTTTTTCTTACGGTACTAATGATGATGTTTTTGACGCTTATCCTTGTGATTTGGAAACCAATCATGTTATCAACAGAGTATCCAAGAACTGTATGTGGATGTTGGACTCAGGATGCACAAATCATGTGACTCCTTGTCGAGCTGATTTTATGACTTACAAACCATTTCCTAAACCAGCTTTTGGACATACTGCTGGTCATGAACCTGTCAAACTATACGGAAGAGGAACCGTTATATTAAAGTTGGAATCCAACAATCACCTGACTTTACGAGACGTAATTCATGGAGACTTCTCCAAATGCCTATGCTCACATAACCAACTCTTAAAATCTGGATATTAGAGTTATGCAATGAAAATGCACGAGGTGATTTGTACTCCCGACGGTTGTGAAGTCCTCAAGGCGACATGCTTGTCTACTTCACGGTTGCACTGGTTCTATGGAGTTCCTGTCCATTCCTCCAGCGCCGTTAAGACCATAGACCTAGGGACAATCGAATTGGATCAATATACTCTTTGGCATAATCGCCTTGGACATCCGGGCATTTCTGTTATCAAGAACTGTTCTCGCCATGTCTCTGGATTTCCTGCTGAGCTAATCGTGAAATCCCTACCTGTTTGTCGAGGATGTACTTCTGGCAAAATGACATCTGATCCGTTTCATGCCTCATCAAAACGAGCTTCTGCTCCTTTAGAATTGGTTCATGCCGACCTTCTTGAATTACCTGTCGAATCTTATTATCAGGCACGATATGTCTTTACCCTCCTTGACGATTACTCCTCTTTTGGCTTTTGCCTTTATCTCCGACTCAAGTCTGACACTGTGTCTCGCTTTCATGATTGGTTATCCATTGTCGAACGCCAAACCAGTTGTCTTTTAAAGACCTTCCGTTCGGATCAAGGGGGAGAATTTATGGGAACTGAGTTTAAATCGCTCCTCAACTCCAAAGGTGTAATTCATGAATTGTCTATTGCGGACCAGCCACAACAAAACGGACGAGCAGAACGCTTCAATCGCATTATTCTTGAAAAGGCTGGATCAATTCGTCATCATGCCTGTGTACCCAAACGCTATTGGAACTTTGCCTTTGATACTGCTTTACATGTATACAATCGCACTCCACTGAGGAGATCCCTTTGGAAAACACCGTGCAAGCTATTCTTAGGCAAAATCCCTGACATATCATATTTCCGAGTCTTTGGATGTTTAGCCTATGTTTGGATTCCCAAGGATCAAAGGAAAGATAAATTGGAACCTCACGCCTTAGAAATGGTTTTTCTTGGCTATGAACCCAACACGAAGGGATATCGGTTCCTACATGGCCAAAAAGTCATAATTGCTAGAACTGCAAAATTTGCTGAAGAAACTTTTCCTTTTTGTAGTATGGATTTAGGAAAGGAAAACAAATCCGATAACTCAGACCTTATCCCTGTGACGAACCAAAAACCAATAGAAACTAACATGCCTACCAATGATGATTGGATGGATAATGGGCCTGATCAGCCAATGGACGAGAGACCCCAATCTCGACCACAAACTCCAAACCTTGAACAAGACCCACCGTGGAATAATGGTGAAGGTGACCAGGATGATGGAAATCCACATATACCACCAAGGGACTTCCCACCAAGGGCAAATCCACGTACCGATCGAAATGCACCACAACTAAAAGAAGAATGGTTGCAACATCCTCATAAACCTTTCAATGTACCTGCTGAACCAAGAAGACCTCTCGTTATTGCTCGAGAAAATCCTAGAGTTTCTCGAATCAGAATACCTCCACGACGACCTGGAAATGTTTATGGAGAACGTAGGGATCCAGTCGAAATTGAAAAGGAGATTTGAGAGAAACGAGATGCTATCCACAAAATGGTTGATGATAGCATTCAGGCTATCAAGCAGAAAACCTCTCAGTGGAATCCGCCACCAGCAACAGAGGAAACACAACAACCTGAAGCAGGACCTTCGCATTTTCTGGGAGCTCAAACCGATGAGGGCACAGATACCTCATTCGTGACTTTATTAGCTGCGCATATTAAACAAGTACCGGAACAGTTTAGGGATATATTAAAACTCCCGAAAGCTGAACAAACCGTTTGGTTTGACGCAATGAAGGATGAATTAAAATCGATCGAAGAAAGAAAAGTTTGGATACTAGTGGATCCTCCTCCAGGACGTAAATTGGTTAAATCAAGATGGGTCTACGCTGTTAAAAGCGATGGTCACCACAAAGCCAGACTAGTAGCAAAAGGCTTTACACAAGAGTATGGGATAGACTTCGAAGATACTTTTTCCCTGGTCGCATGCTTTGAAACAGTGCAAATCCTCCTAGCTCACGCAGCGCAGCATAATTGGGAAATGGAAGCATTAGACGTGAAAACTGCCTTTCTATATGGCAAGCTAGACGAGGAAATTTATATGGAACAACTGGAAGGATTTAAAGTCAAAGGTCAAGAGCACAAAGTTTATCGGTTGCTGCGAGCACTATATGGCTTAAAGCAAGCAGCACTCTCGTGGAACAAAGAACTACATCAATCACTTCTTCGGATGGGCTTCCTCCGATCAAAAGTAGATGCCAGTGTATACTGTTATCAATCAAAAGCCGGAACAGTAATATTCTTGGTTTATGTTGACGATGGACTTTTCCTCACCTCACACAAGAATTTACTTCAGAAGAAGAAAGACGAGTTCATGAAAACTTGGGAGTCAAGAGATCTTGGCGAAGTAAAAGAATATCTTGGAATCCAGATAAAAAAATCGCCAAACCAATGAAATTTGGTTAGATCAGATCCCATATGTTCAAAAGGTCATCAAACGATTCGGAATGGAGCATGCAACATCTGTTCGCACACCCTTACCTTCTGGATATATTCCCGAAAAAGCTCCAGAAACATACCAGTCAAATTCTCAGCTTCGGTCACGATATCAGTCGGTTATAGGATCACTTCTATATATGGCTCTGGGAACCAGACCAGATATTGCATTTTCGGTCATCCGAATGTCACAATATATGTCAAATCCAACCGATCTTCACCTGAAACAGGCACTGCATATAGTTCGTTATGTGGCATCCACACCGAACCTCTGCCTCCATTATCATGGAAGAGAAGCTAGAATTTATGGTTTCGCAGATTCCGATTGGGCCTCAAATAAAGACACTCGTCATTCAACTACCGGCTTTGCCATGTATTATGGCAACTCTCTTATATCGTGGAGATCCCAAAAACAAAAGACAATCACTCTCTCCTCAACTGAGGCTGAATATATGGCGATGTGCGATTCTGCCAGGCAAATCAAATGGCTCGATATGCTTTTCAAAGAACTATCCTTCGAAATGGATAAAACCATCCTTTACTGTGACAATATGGTTGCATGGTTTATTGCAGAAAACCCAGTCTCGGATGGACAATCCAAACACATAGACATTCAGTGGCATTTTGTTCATGAATGTGTTGAAGAAGGATTATTCGCCATTGAATATATAAATACCACCCGACAAAGGGCTGATGGATTAACCAAGTCCTTAACCTGGTAAAAATTCGAGGATAATCACTCGTCATTAGGATTGGTGAACCAACCTATCTAGAGCGAGGGGGAGTGTTGAAACAATTACCGGTTACTACCTCTTACATGTGATTGTTGTTCTAAGAATAGTTGTTCCATACTATTCTGATATGTTCTATTCTACTGGATTACCGGACAACACGTTCCTAGTAGAAAGACAGAGTTGTACCTATATGGAAGGTCCTCTTACATACAAATATGGTAGTTCTTATCATAGGTGCAGACACACCTGGTCCATGTGCACCATAGAAGTATATATACCCTGTAGGATACACCACAGGATGTAACAAGTCTAACAAGCAGAATACAGAGCTCCCTCTATATATCATCCTCACTCAGAACTACTTTCATACCTACCAAGACCAACACCAACTGAAACATTAAAGGCAAGTGCTCTGCTGTATTGCCCTTTACTCCAAAATCCTCTGCGCAATAGGTGTTCCAGTGCCTGACATGGCAGGGTCCCATCCTTGGTTCAGGCATGCTGATCATCTCAGCTCTATGGTTTGTTGTTCAGGCCAGTTATGAGCTGGTGGGGCTCATAACCTGACAAGATTTGGACAGTTGACATAAGTAATCAAGTGTAGTGTGGGTGCAGAGTGTAACTGGGCCTTTTGGGTCTGAGTTTAGATGGTCATACTTTTGGACTGAAAATACTGGCCAGACCAGGGATTGAACTTGGGTCTTCCCACTAGTGATGGGGTGCCTTTACCACTAGGCCACCCAGCCATCCCTTACCAGCCTAGAGTGTGGATTCTCATTCCAACATGTACAAGTTCTGTGGGGGCAATGAGGAGGCTTCTCATCTTATAATTGTTTTGTATGTGGTAGCTACCCTTTTATACATTTTCTAGTTATTTCATATCTAGTCTGCTGAGGGGTGGATTCCCCCTCATCCTGCTGTATGTTTATCCCTTTGTTGGGGATATGATGTCAATCTCCTTTACTGCCCCTTAGGCCAATATCACACCTTTCCTATTCATCCGACTCGAACTCAGGTTGTCAACAAGGTCCAAGGCTTGAATAAGAAAACATGTCATGCCCTACACAAGGTATGCATCTCGACAAATGTCTACTAGGTGTACATACAGTACAATGCCATTATTGTGCTCTCAAGGTATAATACAAGCACTCAAGAGTGCTGGATAAACGGGCTTGGTGATGCATGGTATACCTCCTCCCCCTCTGCCAATACCATCTGCGACTACACACTTGCAACACCGTCACGATGGTCCTTTCCCTCGCTACCCTCTGGGCTTTCTTCATACACGACATCGTGTACTACGTCCCGCACACGCTCCCGCTCCCTTTCATCCGATGCGCGGGGACTCGCTACTCCATCTAATCCACGCAAACCGAGACCCGCAACGACGTCCACCGAAGACGAACCGCGATCGTCACGATCATGCTCGTACGTACCAGGGGCTGGCTCCGATTCGCTTTCATGTACGTCGTCTTCACGGGTGCACTTCCAGTCTCTTTCCCGGTCATTTACTCTGCCCCGCCGCCTCTCACGTCCCCTTCCTCTGTCTCCCCCCCTCTCCCCCTCCCTCCCTGCTTCTCTTCCATCCCTCACCTCTCTTATGGCATCCGTCGTTTCCCTCGCCGTCTCTGTCTCCCCTGTCCCGCTGTTCACCCTCCCGTATCCCTGCAACGTCTTCACGATCGCGCCAAAATAAATAATGCCCAAGATGAAAAAGGCCGACACGAACACTCTAGGACCGATCGCTGCGCTGGGACCGAGTGAGGAAGGAATGGCTGGATCGGTTGTGGATCCAGAGCGCCATACGAAGGCAAGGATGGAGGCAATAAAGAAGATCATGGACCTGCGTCTGAGAATGAGGAAGGGAGATGGGGGAAAAGAGCATGAACACGCACCAAGCCAACCAGACCCCGGGCAGTGCCAGCATTACCCACACGTTCCACAGTATAAATGTGGTGGTTCTCTGCGTCTCCTGCGCCCACCTTGTTGCCTTATACATGCTTTTCATCGTCGCGAATCGGACGATGTATACGCACCCGTACAGGAGGGACATGAGTGCACAGGTGAGGGAAAGGAGCGCTGTTGTGCGCACGAGGGGGTCATATGCCATTTCTTGGTTTTGGAACATGGATAGGATGGCTCTGGAACAAAAGAATGTGATGAAATGGGTGTGGCATGTGACGGTTACTTACGAGAGTAGTAGTGCGGAGACGATGTTCAGCGTCTTCCATTCTCGGAGGAGCGAGTCGATGAACAGCTCCCACGAATTCTTGAATCTGACCAGTGCAGGACCTACGTTTGCCGTAGTCCAGTCTTCGGACAAAGGTAGGCCGTGATCATGATGACGAACACCGGTCGTTTGTGGAATGGGGCTCATTCGTGCACGCCGATCCCTTGCACGGTTACTGGTTTGACAGGCGCGGAGTAACCTGTCGATGTCTGGCTGGCTAACGTCGGCATCTTCAAACAGCCTCGCGATCCTCGAGAAGTACAAGGAGGGAAGTCTCAGCATCAAGTGTAAATATACCTGTCTCGGGAGCGTGTCTGTGAGAAAATCCCTCGTGCGTCGAACGTGTTTACGAATGTGGTCCTTCGGTTTCGGGCAGGGGAGACAAAAGAGGGATTCTTCGCATTTGACTGGATCGACGACGAGTGCGACACCGTGTTCGATGTCTGGGCTGTTATATATCGAGAACCTGCGCAGGCGCCTGCTGAAGGGGTCTACAGGCACGAAAGGTGTTTCGCGTTCACGTTCCTGACGGTGAATGCCCCACTGGAGTATTCCGCGAATGGGCGAGGTGGGTCTCGAGCGGGCGGGTTGAGAATGCGCTGATCGCGGCGGCGAGTCGATCGCGTTGCTGGGGGGTTTGCGCGGCGAAGAGGTGGTGGTTGCGGTTGGAACGTTGACGCGTAGAGCGGCTAGGGCGGAGGGGGGACGAATGGGATCGGATGAACGCGTGTCTCTGAGGAGCGGGTGGTGGACTTGAGATTGGGACGTGCGTCGGGGAGTGCTGGCAAGGTGTCTGCTGGGCGAGTCTGAGTCTGTAGATGGAAAGGGGGTCGACGAGGCCATCGCGTGTGTGTGGGGGGGTATTATTCTGGCGAGTCCTGAGCGGTGTTCCGGGTGTTCTAGCTGTCTGTCCTGGTGGTATCCTGTCCCCTCCCGCTGTTCTTCTCGGTCGGCCTTATAAAAGAGGCTGCTGAACTACGCTTGCCAAATATATCCGTCTAGGGGCAGGAGGACGTGACGGCGTCACGGTGTGACATGTCCTCGTCTGGTGTGTGATGATATTTCGACCTTGAGTTGTCGAATGGAATGGATTTTATAGAAAAAAAAAAAAAAAAAAACATTCAAATGAAAATGAAAGTAGCACTGCAACGCTTGGATCTGTACCACGAAGCCATCCATTTCCCTTTTTTTGGGTCTAAGTTGGTCCTTCTCTTATCACGATGGGATGGGCATACATGACTCATCGCCGCAGCACCACATCACTTCTATTCGTATTTGTAGACGGGCATGGATCGACTTGGAGGACGACCCAGCAGGACGAGGGAGGAGAGGCGGAGAGGCGAGGGGGGGAGGGGGAAGGGCGAGAGGGCTTGAGGCGTGACGGGAGGGGACAGCCACTGCCAAACACGACCAAATAGAAGTGACAAACAGAGGACGCTCTCTTGGCCGACGACGACGACGACGACGACGACGACAAGCGACGAGGGTGAATGCATCTGAGTCGTGGACTCACAATAAAACTGCCCCCAATGCCATCCCATCACCTCCCTCCTACTACACGCATGCTGTCTCCAACCAGTGGCTCAGAGTACCACGACAGCGAACCCATCGAACAGCAGGATCACCAAGAGGACGAACCGGACGAGGAACCAGTACAAACATTCACTCAGACCAGCCGCGGTCGTCGCATCAAGCGTGCTCAATACTACGAGTCTCAGTCGGAGGAGGACAGGCAGGACCCAAGCGACCTCTTCAACGACGACAACCATCTCGTCCGCAACGTCCACGACGATGACGAGGATGAGGAAGACCAGCAACCTCGACGCGCCACGCGCTCACAATCTTCGAAACGCAAGACAGAGTTCTCCGATTTCATCGTTTCGGATGAAGAAGACTCGAAGGGTTATTCTCTCCGCCAGAGACGAAAACCACCTCCACCCCCTCCACCCAAGACGTTAAGCGGCCGCATATCCAGGCAACCTCAGCGTTACGTCCCCTCTGCCGCCCCTACCGTTCGAGAACAACAGCAGAAACGCTCTTCACGAAACACACGCCGCTCAGCAGCCGAACGTGACGAAGGTTATGTTGACCAGGGCTCCGACGGTTCGTCCTCAGACGCAGAGGCCTCTTTAGCCAACGCACCACGTACATCATCAGATGCCGGACTAGACCAAGACGCGGAGGGTGAACCAGACCCTGACGCTGAAGGCGAACTGGAGGTGGAACAAGACGGTAGACCTTATGCACTCCGTCGACGCACCAGGATCAACTACGCCGTGCCACCTCCCCTTGAAGAACTCAAGCCCCCTCCTCCGAGGAGTCGCACCATGGGCACAAGAGGTGGAAAGAGGCGAGGACCCGGGTGGAGCGCTTCAGGGGCTGAATTGAGTAGGTGGATGGGCATTCCCTTACCCGCTGACGACTCGGTGCGTAAGCATACAGGCCATGCTTCATATCCACGCATTGAACCGTGTTAGGACTCGGACGTTCCACTCAGAACACCCAGAAAGAACTTCGGTGACGGCGCATTGTTGGGTGCCGGTGCCATGTCCGCCGGAGGGTTACTACCCGGTGATTTTGCAGCTGCGACGGCTGGAACCCCCTCTAACTTGGGTAAAATAGGCGAAGCCGGTACGTGTTTTGTTTACATCGTTGCGTTTTGCTCAATTCAGACCGTGTGTAGCCCTCGCCGACGCGGACCCCCTAGGTGTCAACCAAAACGTGACGTTCGACGAAATAGGCGGCCTCGACGATCGTGTGTCGTCTCACCACTACGTTGAACGTATGTACATACTGACCATGAAATAGACATACATGCTCTCAAAGAAATGACTCTCCTCCCCCTCCTCTACCCTGAGATGTTTCAGCGCTTTGGGCTTACCCCACCGCGCGGCGTACTCTTTCATGGCCCTCCTGGAACTGGGAAGACGTTACTGGCGCGGGCACTCGCAGCAAATTGTAGGTCAAATGGCAAGAGCATATGTAAGTTCCTTTCGTAACTGGTCCATGCACGCGCTCACTCGTTTGTACGCAATCCAGCGTTCTTCATGCGCAAAGGCGCCGACTGCCTCTCCAAATGGGTCGGCGAAGCTGAACGCCAACTTCGCCTCCTCTTCGAAGAAGCTCGCACCTGTCAGCCCAGCATCATTTTCTTTGACGAAATCGACGGCCTTGCGCCCGTCCGATCCTCTAAGCAGGACCAGATTCATGCATCGATCGTATCTACCCTTCTGGCGCTGATGGATGGAATGGATGGGCGGGGACAGGTAATTGTAATCGGTGCGACAAATCGACCTGATGCAGTCGATCCAGCGCTCAGGAGGCCTGGGAGGTTCGACAGGGAGTTTTATTTTCCTCTACCGACCGTAGAAGCGCGAGAGAGGATCTTGGGGATTATGACTAGGAAATGGCAGGGGTGGGAAGGGGAGAAGGGGACGGAGTGTGTCAAAGGATTGGCTAGGATGACGAAGGGGTATGGTGGGGCTGATTTGAGAGTGAGTGAGCCTATGTGTGATG